AGTTACTCTGAAATCCGGCTGTCCTTCTCGGTCCAGAGAGGCCCAAGCAGAACAGCGCAACATTCGTTTGACAGGAGAGCACTCGGGGGCGCACACAGCACCGAGGAAAACAACTCGCTGAATCTGTTGTGCATTGGCAGAGTTGAGAGGGACGCAAATGGCGTGTTAGAGCACTGTAAAAAATATAGTCGTAAATTTACAAAAAAAAAATAGTAAGCTCGAATTATAATTTAAGATGTAAATTTACGACTACGACGGCACATTATTTACTCGCCAAGGGATTTGAAGTCGATACATACTGCATTATTTTTACGATTTCAAATTGTAATTTTACAACTTGTGTCAAGGAAAATTTTCCTGTAAACCTACCTACTTTTTTTCATAGTGGGTATTGCATCTCCTATTGTAAAAATTGTAAAGTAAGTCAGAAGTTAAAGATTATCTATGAGTCAGCCTAGATAGACGGTATGTGTAGTCAGGGTGTTCAAACCGAGGCGAAACCGAATCTGGTGTCTGTTTCGCGAAACCGCGGCCGTGGCCTAGCCCAAGCCGTTCCCACTATAATACAACAAAGTAGCCACAAACCAAATTTCAGGTAAAAATTCCATCGTCCTGAAAGGATTAATAATTGCTCGCTGTCTAGTCAACCTGAAACCTATCGGTGGGGCCCTGCGTCCTGCGATATGCGCGGATGTGCGGGTCAGCGTCTGTCTGCGTTTAGCCTTCTCTCTCTCTCTCTCTCTCTCTCTCTCTCTCTCTCTCTCTCTCTCTCTCTCGCACATACTCACAACACCCCCCTCCCTCGGGGGGCGGCGCGCAGGGGAGGCGCTCGGGGGCGGTCACCGGCCCCGTGGCGTCCCGGGCTTGTTGGCCTGGACCATTCGCCCGCCGGAGCTCGGTCCAGCGCCACTTTGTGCAGGTGCAGCCTGCGCCCTGCGCGCCTCGCCCGATGCTCGCTCGGCTCGCGCCCCTCATGCTGTGCGTGTGCTTCGTCCTGCAGTGCTCGCTGTGCGCGAGCGTGGTCGTCGTCCTCACGACCCTGGTCGCGTACCCCGTCGTGGTGGTCGCGCTCCACCTGCGGCGCCCCGCGGCGCGCGCCAGGCTGCCCGTCTAGACCGTGGTCTAGACATGGTATCGGTCGTCATCACCAGCGTCCTCGTCGTCATCTCCCTCGTCGCGGTGGTGGTCTACATGTGGCGGGGGTGACACTGGTTGAGGACGGCGACGGGCGCGCGGCGGGCCGGCGGCACCGCTGCTGCAAGTGAGTAAGGGCGGCCACCCTCGCCCATGGGCGCACGCACCCGACACGGTGAAACCCGAGGGGGGCCACGACTCCTGAAATCATACGTACACTGTCCCTGAAATCCCCCCGATCTGAAATCAGATCCGAGATTCGCCTGGAATCATAAAATCATAAAATCCATCAAGTCTTATAAAATCCGCTGAAATCGTGAATTTTCCTCAATGTCAGTCTAATTTACCAGTAATTCTTTGCTCGAAATCTCCTAAAATGCTACTCTCCGCAATCCTTGGTTTCATGGGAAATTTCTGCATTCCATGTAATAATGTGAACAAACCAAAGAGTTAGTGGTGACCCCGTCGGTAACAACTGTTTCTTGGAAACCTCACAGTTTTTTGATGATACATATCGTGTGGTAGGAGGGCCGAGGGAGGATGCTTTGTCACTTACATCTTCTACCTGTCCGTTTCAATTCAGCGAAAACCCCTTATAACCCTGCACTGAAAACCGGTGGTCGGGTAGTTGTTTGGTGCCACATAACTGGCGTCCCTCTACAGGACACCAAATGTTGGCGATCAAAGACGCCCGTTGTTACTGGCACCCTCCCAAGAAGCAACGCCAAAATTAGTCGTTTCTCCCGCATTTGTCGTCTTTGGACGCCAACATGGCCTGCAGTTCTTGTCGCGGAGTACCTGAGTTTCGCGAGAGCGAAGCCTGTTACGCGCGACGTGTTGAGGGAGGGAGGGAGGGAGGGTGGCCTGGTGGGCGGAGCCGGGGCCGAGCTGTGCAGTTTTGCCCGAGGTAAAGGAAGTCGTAGTGGTGGGGTGCTCGCGGCGCGCGCCCGAGTGGGGTGGGTCAGGGCTTCCTTCGGCTTCGGCAGGCTTATGAATTTGAAATTGTCTGGCCGCTGTCTGTCGCGCCCGAGACTGTCGCTCTTCTGCTCGTGAGCCCGCCGTGGGCCCGAACACGACGGGCTCGGTG